CTTAATACAGGGACAGCATGTTCTAAATTTTGGATGGAACCAAATCGAATTTTTATTTCGTTACGTCACCTTGCTTTTTTGCCTCCAAATATATGAGAACAGCCGCTTCAAAGTCGCATCATTCATTTGAGCAGCTAAACAAATAAACAGCTTAATTATAAACTTACATCGCTCCTCTTCGTTGTACGAAGGCACAATCACCGACAAATCTATAGAACCCTCTTCCTCCATAATGGGAAATGAATAAGTGGCATTGTTTTTGTTTGGATCTTTGTAATACTTTTCGCTGTCAAACCTAGAAATCATTGGCACTGTATCCCAAGTCGTCAGACGAATAACTACAAGAACCTGCGAAGAACACAAATCAGAATTAATCCTTTTGACCGCTCATAAGTAAATATTTCCTTCAGTTCGATGGAACGTCCGAAAACATGAAATAATTTCCATAGACGAACAAATTAACTTATCGTTTAGAAGGTTGAAACCCTTAAAAATCTCTTGTTTAAAAGAATTAGAGGTGGAACTTTGAGGAAAGCAGTATTTACTTATTGCCACGGTTGGAAGTTTGTCCGACAAAGATGCCAATTTCTTCGTTTCACGGATTAAGAAAGAACTCCGTTCCAGCAAATTCGTGGAATAGCACCAGAACTTCTACTCAGAGAAACCCTTCGTGCAACAATCAAACAAGCAATAATGCAAGAAAAAGACACTTCGGTGTGCCGCGATTATGGGACAACGAATATGACGTTGGGTTTGCGATAGACAGGGAGGAAGGTGAAGTTAGATATTCCAAGGGTTACCCTGATGGATCGCGAATTTCAAGAAAACTCTCGGCAAGTTCTCGACCCAGAAGCGCGCGCCTCGCCGATAGAGGCCTAAAGAGGCGCGATACTTTCCCGCCGCGAATTGGTGCATCGCGCATGGAAGGACAAGATTACAAAAGAAGTAAGAGCGATCCGTCAATTACTGCAGAGAAGAAGCGAAGAAAAAGTAGCGGTAAGTCTCCCAAAAGGCCATCGTCTCTTTGGACAGCCGGAAAGAGGGGAGAAAGTTATCCGTCCACTTTGCGCAAGAGGAAGGTAAGTTGCTAAAATGTATTCAGGTTTAGGACATAAATTACTTTAACTTAAAAAAAAGTAATTGAAAAAGTTTTCTCGATCAGGTAAAGTAAGTTCTCAAATCAACAAGAGTCGGTCATGTTTCAATTAATTGTACTGATTCTAATCTTCTCTCTGAATCTTAGTTTTCAGTAATTTAATCTAATGCCAATTTCAAAACGTTACAACACTCGGTCAATCAAAGGTGTTATATCACTATATCAGCAAATGATCGATTTCAGGTTCTCACGCACATGGCTGAGTGAACACACAGAAATAAAACAATTGAAAAATTGGCCAATGACCTCTTTTTATCAATAAATATAAAGGTTTGCAAAATTCAAGTTCAAGACGAAATTCATTCAGGCGCTGTGACGAATGAATCACAACTCGATCGAAACAGTATTCAGTAAACTCAACACGAGCATGCACGCACACATAATTTTTTGTCACCTTATTTAGGTCTATTTACATCAATGGTCAGGTCACCAGGCAATACTATTGCTCGCAAAATAAATAGTAAAACTTCGTGTACCAACAAAGCTGTGTTTTTATGCTATTTACATCGGCTCAAGTATAAGTCAGCGGATGAAACCATATTGTCATTTCATTCGTAGCAGGCAGGGTACTGATCAAAGACTGGCGTAACTTAGCTAAGCGACAACAGACGGTTACAGCTTTCCTTATTCCCACTGTGATTTCTTTGATTATAAACTCCGAGTTAAACCGATAAAGAATAACCTATCTTCACCGGGAAATTTCACCCTGGAACACTGGCATGATATTGCAGTGAACCGCGCTGGGCTGGGGCCGAGATGGAACAAAAAAATAGCTTTCTCGATAACCCTCGCTCTAAACTAGCAGAAACTAGTAGATTTTATTAATGGAAAAAATATTTTTGGGGTTAGTGGCACTTTAAACCGGCCGGCGAAAAGCGGCTGGTAAATTGAGCTTCCGACTCGTAAGGCAGCCGGCGGGCCAAGGTTCAAATGCCGATCAATACACGAGTTTAACGGTGTAAATCCTATGTAGGAATACAGTGTAAAATGCTTCAATAATTAACCTTTTGCTCATTTTTTCCATCTGGTTATTATTCTATTTTACCAGGAGCATGTGAGCAAAGGAAATTTCAACACTCTGTAATAATTCCAATAGTAAACCCCTCGCTAACATTTGTTCAAAAGTACTTTTTCGAAGGGATTATTTTCAGTGAAGGGGAGGTGTTTTCATCGGAAGGATTTCTTTCGGCCTTATTATCAAAATTTCAATCGACATTCTAAATTCATTTTTGCTAAAAGCACTTTGCGAACGGAGGCTTTTAGAAATGGGAAATTGCAAAAAAATGTGACAACCATGCATGCAAATGGCTTATTAGAGAAATATCTACTTTTTGATCTCAAATAATAGCCCGGTTTTCATTGGTCGCCGACGAGCACCCGTGATCTGTGCTCGTTCAGGGGTGTCTAGCTGGATGACTTGCGGCATTTTGACCAGGGCAGAAATTTTGACTCTGCCGTCTTACGTGCTTCGGTACCCCAGCGAGATAATTGTAACTCTCTTACTGTAGCAAGGAGAGGTTTCTCCAAACGAAGCGAAAGCGAATCGCCTGAGAAGTAAATATTTAAGAACAGGTAAGGTTTCAGTTGGCTAATTGACGGTGTTGATTTCGTCCGCGATATCATAGACGTATAAGCTTACTGATATTTTTCATGTAGAATTTTATCAAGTATAAAGCTTTGAGTGTATAAGCGTGTTAAGCTTATTACATACCAGTATTATCACACATGTTTTTAAAAAACTTATGTCATGTCTCAAGATCCCGGCACGATTCGTGTTAAGAACCAGTTGGTTATTGCTCGACGTGCTCGGCGGACCGTGCAGTATGCATGGATTGTTATTGATTATCGCACTGATTTCCTTAAAGCCCTTTTGTTTAAGATAAACTTCGTAACTGTGCTAATATTGTTAGGAGCCAGGTTGTATAGAAAATTCTTCGTGGGTGTGAAATGTTTAAATAAAGGTAGGAAGTAGACCGGGTGGAAAATCAATTGGTGCGACCTGTTAGCCTGTGTTTGAGTTTCAGGGTACTTCATCTCGTTCACTCGAAATACAAGCCGGCAACCTTACATCAGCTTTGGTTAGTGTCAGGTAGCAAAGAATTTCTTGCATAATTGTAGCCAAGATATTGCAGTTTGCCTTGTATCTACTTAAAAGGGTTAAAAGTTTTAATATTGATATGTGCACCTTCGATCTTGGCTCAGAAATTTTATGAAACAGGTAAGACGAAGCACCCAACGCAAATGTCAACATTTTAATGTTATTTCTTTTGATTACGAATCGTTGTTGTCATAAAGATGTAGTTTAATGTTTGCTTACGAGTAAATTTATATGTTCGACTGAAATTTTTATTGTTTTTTGCACGCTTCGACACTCTTATTATTGCCGCAGAAATACGACGTTGCTATAGCGAATATGTCGATTTTGTTGACTTGCCAAGAAAGTCACGTTTATTCAGCGTTTACAGTGAGTGTCACATTTCATTGAAACCATTAGCAAGCGCATAGTAATATCTCTTTTCTTCTTTTTCCCTCATTTAGGTCAACAATTGTTTATCTCCGCCATCTTTTTCTCCGCCTGATGGAAGTTTAAATGGAAGCCCTTCAAGGAAACGGCCAAATAAAGGAGACAGAGTCGTGTGTATTTTGAACAAGAAGCCTCAGCTTGGAATTCTAAAGTACATCGGAACAACACATTTTGCCGACGGCGAATGGTGTGGAATCTTATTAGACGAAGCTTCTGGGAAAAACGATGGATCTGTGAAAGGAGTGCGATATTTTCGGTGTAAGAATAAACACGGAATATTTGTTCACTCGCACAAGGTCAAAGCTGCCGATGATATTACTCTTTCTCGATTAAATTTGCTGGAAAGCCCTTGCAGTCCACAATCAGCCGAGAGAAAGGTCAGAACAGGTGTAAATAGCGGGCAAAGCATGTCTTCGAGCGACGTAGAAATCGTCCGAGGCGGCCACATGGCTTTTAAACATCGCGACGTCAAGTCTCTGAGGTTAACCAAGAGGAATCGTTCAGTGTCCTTAGATAGATACCTGTTTCTTAAAGCTAAACAATTGGCCAAGGGATTTAACATATTATTACACAACGTGGAAAAGGACGGGAAAATAAACACCTGGGACCAGAATCGATTAAATCGATGCCGCTCGCTGCCTAAAATTACCAAAGAAAACTTGTGTGATTCAAACGAGTATTGTTTGAACAGTGACATGGCGCCTTTGGAAAAGAACGTTTGCCAGGGAGAACGGATATCCAGTGGAGGCGGCAAAAAAGTTGATCTTTATAATAATCCCGCAAAAGTAACAGATGTGCTCAGTTCTGCAGAGGGAGGGATGAACAATTTGAGTAAAGAGAATCAGCAGACATTTTCTGAGAATTCCCCATCAGTGAATTCCTTAAATAGACCAGATGGTTTTCATACAAGCCAAAATACCTCCAGTGGAGGCACAACTGCTCTGCACAAAGTGGGACATGCTGTTTCCTTGGACACCCATCTCATGATCAAAAAAGGACAGCTGACCATCTCAAATGGCAATGATGACGACATCTCCTGTGTGTCACATCTCACCAACAGAGAAGACCCTTTCATACAAGGGCGACATTGTAGCTGTCCCAGTCTGCATTGTGCAGACCACTTTTCAGAGTCTATTACGACATGCTTAGACCTGGGACGCACCGAACGATCTGTTATTCCTGAAGCTGAGGATGACTACAATTTAGAAGGTATCCATTCTCATGAAACTCATCATAGACCTTTAGGATGCTCTCACTCACAGTCAGAAACACTGGAAAAGATATTTCAGAAAACTGAAGTGGTAAGGAGTAAATCTTCCTGTTCAAGAGAAGCTGACCTGACACGCGCAGGTAGCTGGCCATGGTTGACACCAAGTCCAAAACAATCGCTTAGACGCTACAGCAGTAGCAGCAATATCGACAAGTGTGGTGCCTTTGGAAGAAGCGGAGATTATGAAGATGTGTTTGATGATGGACTTACTACACTGTTAACACCTGTTAAACCAATATCAGATGACACAGCTAAAAGGTGTCTTGATATACAAAATGTTGACAGTGTGCCACAAGGTGGTGCTGTAAAGAAAGCAGGAAAGTCCCTGCCAACAGAATCCCATGACCATCCTGTTGACGCAGATTCCAACTATGCTGACAGCCTTTCTGGATCACAGGCTTCACTGTCATCAACAGGAACAAGCGAAAGCAAAGGAAAGAAGACGTCTACAACAAAAAGTATTTCTGGCTCTGTGAAGAGTAGTTCTGGGGCTAAATCTAGAGCAATACCCATAAGAAATAACAGTGTGTCAAAACCACCACCACAGCAGAAACAATCCAGACTGGAACAAATGCGCCAGCAGCAAAACTGCAGAGTGTCATCATCCAGCTCAACTGGTAATAAATCACAGCTTCCAAAAACAACTACAGCCAGTACAGCAGGCAGCAATGAAGTTAAAATGCAGAAACGGCATACCCTGGGCACACTTCCGGATGTGAAATCGTTTGTGCCTCGCCCTTCAATAAGTAAATGGCCTGTGAGTGGTGGAATACCTGAGCAGTCTGCAAAAGATAAAGCAAAATCATCAAACCTTCCTGTTAAGAAGATGGCTACACCATCACAGATTTCAAAACCACCAACGTTACTTAAGTTAGAGAAGAAATCTGAGACGGCTTCTATTCAGAGACGACATAGTTCTGCTGCAAGTCGGCCACCAGTAGCCCCTATTGTTAAAAGAGACTCTGGTTTGGTACGGTCTGATTCAAAGGCACGCAAGGTCAGCAGGTCGGCTGCCATTCCTGCAAAGGCCTCGACAGGTAAAGAGAAAGAAACAAGTGCTGTCGGGCAGAAGGTAGTAGGTGGCCAAAATCTTGGTGCAATTAAAGCCCCAAAGGGATCAGCTCCAGCATCTGGATCCAAGCCACAAACATCACGTGTGATCAGGTCAAGCAGTTCTGTTAGAGGTAATGGGCAATTTTCTTGTGTCGTGGTAATCAACTACAGTCTTTGTAGCTCTCTTAAGAAATGTCACGGTAATTAACAACAGTCTTTGTAGATTTGTTAAGAAATTAATGTTCAATTTGTATCCAGGGACAGCCAAAATTGGGCAAGGCCATTATTTATGTTG